AAAACGCTAACTAAGGCTGTTTGTGGTAATGGAGTAGTGGAAGGTCAAGAGGTGATTGCATATCAAGTATTGTTATTATTATGTATCATTGTAGGAATGTGATTGCGGCCAAAAAGATTGTCCAAACAAATGTTGCGATGGCTCGACTTGTAAACTGAAAGAAGGTGCTTTCTGCGCAGAAGGAGCTTGCTGTGATCTTGAGACTTGCAAGGTTAGCATTTTGAACGTTTCATACATAAATATTTTGTTTCAGCCGAAACCAAGAGCGACAGTGTGTAGAATTTCAAAGAGTCCTTGTGATTTGAATGAATACTGTAATGGTGAAACGAATGACTGTCCTGCTGACTTCTATGTTCAAAATGGACATATTTGTCCTGAACACGATAACGTAAATGATATTCCAGTTTGTACTTGATTTTTTAATTATACAGGATTTTTGCTATGAAGGAAAATGTGGTAGCCGTTCTGATCAATGTGTTCAAATTTGGGGTTCAGACTCCAAGAGTGGCATACCGCAGTGCTTTGATTTAAATAGAAACGGTAACTTTGGTGGTAACTGTGGCTTTGACTTCCACTCTGGGAACTACACACCATGTCCTGTAGAGTAAGCATCCGAAGTGGAAAGTTTGATAAATGCAAACATTTACAGGGATGTTCAATGCGGTAGACTACACTGCACAACACAAAGCGAACGTCCCATTATTGGAACACCTCAAACAGTTCAGCCTTCATACACCTACATAAGAGTTGGTAAGATTCGATAACGGAAAAATATGTTTACTCATCAACTGTTTCAGGTAGAGAGGACCATATGTGTCATGTGATAAAAACAACTTTTTCGTCCGGTAAACGAAAAGAACGTGATTACGGTATGGTTACTGATGGGGCTATGTGTGGAAAAGATAAGGTATGAGGAAAACATGATACCTACTCATTCATATATTTAGATGTGTGTGGATAAGAAGTGTAAAATGCGTGCTGATGTCAACAAAACTGTTTCGTTATGCTTGAATGACTGTCATTTTAGAGGTGCAAACTATCTCTTTCAATAATCATCAAGTGTTTAAGGTGTTTGTAACAATGTTGGAAACTGTCATTGCTACAACGGCTTTGGAGGTATTTCTTGTGAAATTCCTGGCTATGGTGGTTCGGTTAACAGTAACACGGCTAATCTTCATAGAGGAGTGACCCCATCTACTGTCTTTTTGTTCTGCAGTTTCACACTCATTTTTGTTTTCTTGATCACAGCGATTGTATGTGCTGTTCGAGAAAAAAGGAATATACTTTTTGAGTTAGTTAAAAGTTTGAAAAATCTAATTGAATGTTTATTTGAGACTCTGGCGATGGATCAGAAAAACATTGAAAATGGAAGGAACTAATGTACCTGTTCGACGTGCACCTCCACCCCCTAGGCAGTTAGAAAAGAAGTGGGTACATTCTTATAAACAGCTAATGTGTTTTTGCTCAGGGGATCACCTCCAATCAAATATGGTCAAGTGATATACTCCACCCGATCTGATGGTAACGCCTATAGAACGGAGAGCATTCCACCGATATCTCCTACATCTACAATTGTTTGCGGGACAAACACTATTTTCACAAATCCAGCGCCTGTGGTGAGTATTTTTCAATTGATGATCAATAAAGCATATAAAGATCAAATTGGAACGGACCAAATCGAATAGACCAAAGGTGCCTCCTCCATCCGTGCCAATACGGCCAAAAGACGAACACCTCAACAAGCTTTATGAGGAAGAAGCGGAGCATTTGGGTTTAATAGGGTCAAGGTTAGCAATCTTTTCAAAAGCGTTAACTGATGGTACTTTTCAGTGAAAATCAGCAGGAAAAGATTGGAGATGAGAAGAAGCTCCCTCCTCCTTTACCACCCAAGCCCCCTAAACCCCAAAAATAATAATTGAAAGAAGTTGCTGCTGTTTTTGCTTTTTTTTTTGAATGAAAAATAATCAAAATGCCTGTAAAAAAAGTCGTATTGTTTAATGTTATTGTATCCATGGGTCATGTTTTCTTTCTTCGCAATCCATTCCTAAAACCCGGTTAGTACCTATGTGTTAATATGAAAGGAGTGTTGTTCAATCAGAATGGCCATATCTTGTTCCGTTTATACGGATTACATTTCAGCCTGATCATTAACATGATTCCTTCTCTATTTCCGTCATGGTTCACATGATTCTTGCCTTTTATTAATAAATCTGCTGTTCTTGATTGTGATTACACTTTGGTCTTCATATGTTGTCATAGAAACAAGGTTAACCAACATTTATTCCCAGAAATTAATTCACAAGTGGAACACAAGATCGGAAAAAACCTTATTCATTCTGGCGCCCGAAGAGATAAGTGACAGTATCGCAATCATATGGCTCTCCAATGGTGCAGCAGTGACAGAACATCGGGTCTTTTGTCATGTCACTAACTCCTGAAAATATATTTTTGTGATGAACGTTCATTCATTACCAACCTGGAACATCCGGACGAGGCTCAGTAGTGAAGTTAGCGCATGAAGACACGTAGAGGCACGGCCAATTGTTGTGCCTGTTGCCGGTCCCGAACCCCATTTGTCTGGGTGGTCGAGGATAGGGTATGATCATGACGGTTTTTTCATCCATGTCGTTAGCATGACGGCGTAGTAAGTCATCAATTTGATGTCGATGATGCAGAATCATGCGTGAGACAACAGGATTAACACCATAGAGCTCCAGAAAGCGCGGATTCAAGATCAGGCTATGCATGACGTTGATTGACTCACGAGGGAAGTCACCACCAAAGATCCCTGAACTTCGTAATCATACAGTTCGTTTTGAATTTGTTGTAACCTGGCTTGTTCGGCAGCATCGTCTTGGTAGCTTGAGGTAAGCTTTGTTGAAATTGGGACAAGTTCTGCAAAGAGAAGTATTAAGGTACAACGAAGAGATGAAAATAGAAAGCCGCACAAGACGAGTGGTGTTGAGCAAATGAAAAGAATTTGAAAACATACGCCCATACGCAAGCCACGCCTTCCTGCCATTTGAATAAGTATCAGTCTAACACTGCTTCAATCATTCAGCTCTATCCTATAATGAGGCATTATGATATTTGAACGACATCATTAATATTATATTTTAAATTACCGAATTAGGTCATTCTAATCCGCCAAAGTGTGAAGAAGCAGCTGCAAACTGTTGAACGATGATGGATGATTGCAAAGAGCAAAGCTTTTTCACAAAGGTCTCAATCAGAATATGAGCAATAACATTTAGAAAAAGTGAAATTACTAATAGAAAACCACTCAAGACTCATGTACTGTGGCACTGAAACCATAATGGAAACTAAAAAAGACATATTTTGCTTAAGCGATATCCCATTATCCAGTAAAATCCCCCTCTCCCCTTTTCCTTATTCCTACCAGAAATCTGTCAAAATCTCGAGTCATGTCGAGCAATGAACGCTCTTAGCCTAATGTCTTCAGCTCAATGAGAGTAAATGAGCAGCAATTCTAACAACTATGCTAATAATTTTAATTGCTTTAGTTATCACCCTTCCAATTCTGAGTCGCATAATTGGTGTCAAATATAACCATACGCATGCTTTCCGTATAATCAAAGGCTACAAATTTCAGCTTAAATTTCAACCTACTGGATGTAAATCTCAAAATGCTTTAAGTAAATCCCATGCGCATGTCGACCCAAACGAAGATACACAAGGAAATATTTATATCCAGAAATCTTAATATATTATATTACATGACTTGCGCATCGAGTACGCGTTTCCTTTGACTAAGATCATCATATAGATCAGTCAGCTTAGCTGAAACACTTCTGTGCCGCTTAGGGGTAACTAGAATGGATCTTGACGGAAGCTTTTTGAGAGAATCTGTATTGAATAAGTGTTACAGAACACTTGAATGATAATTACCTCTTGGATCATTTAGTCCTTGCTTATTGTGATTTTCGAGTGTGCCACTCCAGACAATGGATTTACTCTTTCTCATAGGTGTTTTGATAGATGAAGAAGACATGAATGGACTTTTGGAGAGCAGCTTTTTAGGTGTTCCTACTGTAAATTGCATTTTGGGTTAATCATAAAACGATATTAAAACACCTGGCCGGAAATCATCAACATCCTCGTCGGAATCTATATCCATTTCCTCATCTGATTGCAATCTGCTATTTTTAGTGTAGATATCAGGAGAATCTTCACAATCATCGAGATTAAAAGCGATCGGTCTTCTGGCAGCATTTGAATAGCCTGTCGGACCATGCGTTGTTTTATTTGTTTCTC